GACGCAGCGGAGGTAGTGCTGAAGGTGGATGTTAAGAATGCTTTCAACTCCGCGGATAGAGGTGCCTTATTTTCAGCAATTCAACAAAAAACTCGTACTATTTATAATTATCTTTGGCAATGCTACAGCAAATCAACTAAACTTCTTTTCAAAAATAACCTGTTACATTCATCTGTCGGCTGTCAGCAAGGCGATCCTCTCGGGCCCGCTATTTTCAGTTTGGCTATACAACCTATTATTGATTCGCTAAATTCAAAGTTTAATGTATGGTACCTTGATGGCGGAACTATTGCTGGCGATATTTCAAACGTTCTCTCAGATTTTCAATTCATTATTGATAAATTCAAAAGTATTGGCCTTGACTTAAATTTTTCAAAATGCGAGCTATTTATTCCAGAATCAAAATTCTCACCTGAACATTTACAACACATTATTAAGAAATTTTCAACTTTAGCCCCTAACATAAAAATTCTTGATACCAAATCACTCCGTCTCCTCGGTTCCCCGATTTTTGATGATGCCATTCCTATTTTTATTAATGAACAAATTTCAAAATTCCAGTAGTCCTTCGAAAAAATGTTAAAAATTAATCCCCACATGGCTTTATACTTGATTCGTTTTTGCGCTTTCGCCCCAAAATTCATATATTTTTTACGTAGTACTAATTTTTGCAGGTCAATTGTCAATTATTGACTGTTCACTCAGAGAGATATATAATCATATATATACATATCTCTAAAATTCTAAATTGCTCATTTACTGATAATGCTTGGAAGCAGGCCTCTCTCCCGGTTCGTTTCGGAGGTCTAGGTACCCGCCATATTTCCCATCCCGCTTTTCTGTCTTCTGCATACGGTACAGCCGAACTCTTTAATAAAATATTATGCCCTTTGGGTGTAGTGGAGTTGACTTACCTTGCAGAGGCCAGAAGCACATGGTTTAGGGTATGCCCGGGAGTGGATCCACCATCCTCTTTATCGTCTCAGAGGCAGTGGGACGAGCCGCTCTGTTTGCATATTCAGAGTGATCTTTTAGCATCCTCTGAAAGCGCCACTGAGCGTGCTCTCCTTCTAGCCGTATTTCAGGCAGAGTCTGGTTACTGGCTGTAAGCTTTACCTTCAGCCAATATCGGGACTTTGCTTGACAAGAGCACTCTGTCTCTTGCGATAACGCTTAGACTTGGCGTCAAGACTAATAATCCCTATCACTGCCGTTGTGGTTTTCGCGTCGGTGAGCTGGGACACCATGGCCTCTCATGCCAAATGAGCGCTGGCCGAGTCTCCCGCCACGCCTGCATCAATGACGTCATCCGCAGGGCTCTTGTCGCTGTCAACGTACCAGTGGTCCTTGAACCTAATGGCATCTTCCGCGACGATGGCAAGAGACCTGATGTGATGACGCTCATTCCTTGGAAGCAGAGTCGTCCTCTTGTATGGGACTCAACCTACGTGGATACGCTTGCTCCGTGCCATACAAGTAGTACCTCCCTAGCTGCAGGCGCAGCGGCGGCCTCTGCCGAGTGCTCCAAGCGGCGCAAATATTCAGCTCTCATTGAGAACTACATATTTGTGCCGTTTGGTGTTGAGACTGTGGGCCCATGGGGTCCAAGCGCTCGTTCCCTTTTTAAGGAATTGTCAAAGAGGCTAACCGAAGTGACTGGTGAACAAAAAGCTGGCAGCTATCTTGGTCAACGGATCAGCCTTGCCATCTAACGCGGCAATGCTGCCAGCCTATTGGGCACCATTCCTGATGGCGGGCTAGGGGGTGATATGTTTTTTATTTTGTAAATTATTTATTTATGTAGGTAAGTAGGTTAAGCTATATAGTTTTTAAATTTGTGTTATTTTGATGTATTATCTTCGTATAAATAAATAATTAGATATTTTTTCAAATATAATTTTACTCATTCTATGCTCCTGCATTTCCATTTTTCAATAACTTGTATTTCAAAAAAAATAGAAGGCCTCGAAAAAGGCCAGAAATAAACAAATTTTTATCACCATTAAAGACGTTTAGTGTGGATGTTTAATAATCATTTTCAAAAAAAACAAATACGAAGCGTAGTATAACTTATAGTATAACTACTTATTATACTTTGTGTAAAATTTCTTTTACATATGTAGGTATATCTAATTTTCGAGGAGGAAATCGTCGAGAGCCAAACGTTGAAATTTGCAATTTTAATAAGCAATTTTCAGCGTTAACTACCGTTGCCCTTGTAACACGGCATTTTCAATGCATGACAGTAATAGTTTTTTCAAATACCTATTTCTAAAATGTCTCTCAGCTCGCGTCAGCTCTTAAGTTAATCTTAATCGCGCATACGCGCAGAATATGATAAATCAAAGTCCAAAATATTAAACACAGTTTATTCAACATGACTAAAAGTGTCGAAAGTGGCGATAAAATTGATCCTGAAGGTGAAATTGATAGCTAGTAAACTTTTTCATTTATCAGCGAATTTTACAAAATCATTTTCAGATTTAATTTGCAAACGCCACTATCCACACGCATCACCGTCGTATATCAACATTAATAATAAAACAATTCCTCATTTGGTAATGTTATTGCAATTTTTATGTATCGTAATCAGTATAAAACGAAATACACAGATTTAGAAAAAATATATTGACACTTAACACACTTCACCAAGTGATAATCAAGTCTTTGTGAAAACCTACCACATTGGTATTATTAAAGTTAGTCATCTGTCATCACAACATTTTAAAATATTCTGCTTAAAACGGCTTTAGAAGTGAACAACTAAATAGTTAATTTAATTTATGTTGATTTTAAAATCGATTATTACTCTATACTCGATTATAACATAGCTCCGTGTGGGTCTTATTACTTAGGATAAGAACTCACGGAGCGGTATTATCCCGTTCCTGCCGCAGAACTCTTTTTATTTAACTAAAAAACTCATGAGACCGAAGTTTTTTTGCAGTCCCGCAGAGATCGGTCGAAACCGCGTCTGCCGCAAACATCAAACAAATTGCGCCATAAGTTTTGCTTTTGCGATTAACATACAATTTTACATTCTACACGAGTTGCGGTGGAGAAAATCGCGCCGTGAGTTCTTAGCCTTACGAGTAAAACATTTCACACGTTCCTACCACAGACGAATATTTTATAAGAAAAATAAACCCTGTGTCACACTTTTAAACACAATTTCAGTGCACAGTGTCTGTTGGAAAAGAAATAAAATTGTATGGTATGATTATACAATATTTTAAATGTATTACAGAAAATTTCCGTATTAAAAACAACGATGAAATTTTTTAGGCATAGAAAATACCTGTTAAAATTGCCAAAAACTTTGTTAAGAGATCGTTTGATGAATGGAAATACTTTTATTAGAATAAAATGTATAAAAATATTATTGACATCTATCTATCTCATTAAAGGTACTTTCATACAATTTAAATTGATTACGATTTGGTAAAAATCTTAGGAAGACCTCTTTTATCTTTAAACATCACTCATCAATGTTTTATTAGTAGTTAATCATAAATTATTATTATAGTTATAGTTTTACATAAAATAAGTCATTAATAGATAGTTTAATAGTAGATAGTTACAAGTCATAACCCACGACGATCATGAGTTTATATTTATTATAAAAAATATATATTACACAATATATTAATATAACGAAGACCTTAAACAACTAAGTAGTATAAAAATATCTATTCCTTAATTCCTAATTGCAACACGTGCTGATAACTCAGATAATTCCTAAAAACCTTTTAATCTTCAATAAAGATTTTAGGTTAGGTAATTAATCAATCTTATTTTAGCTAACTACGCTTATCACAAATGTTTGACGATTTTCTTACTTAACAGAAATAAGTATAACTATTTAAAATATTATTGTAAGCTGCGAATAAATACTTTTAAACATTCAACTTATCCCCGTATAATTATTGCATGGTTCACGAAAAACTATTTTATAAATTAATCTAATTGTTTTATTTACAAAATTATAAAAAAAAAACAAGTAACAAAACCTTAAAATAGTTATTAACATTATTTTTTAACGAAATGGCAACTTTTTAGCTTTGCCATTTTATCGTTTCTAATATAATTTTTAAACGGACATTGATATAATCTATGCGTGGAACTTTTAAAATATTAATTGTGTTCATTCTATCATTGTATTTACTACATAATATACATTAAAAAAAAAATCCAATGTCATTATTTTTAAAGTGAAATTTTTATTACATCGCCACAATTTGTTTCGTCCGCCGGTAGCATGTCTCATAACGCATTATATTTTTAATTGGCATGAAAAAAATCGGAACTCTATTACAGGCATTGGTGGGTCAGTGGTAGAAAACTCGCCTGCTTCGCGGCCATGGTTAGATTCCCAGCCAAGGGGGGGATGTATCATTTTCAAATTTTTATAAGCCAAAAAAAGTTGAAGGCGAAGTAGAACACTTTAAAATTTTCACTTACAATGTAGTGTTATAAATTCACACCACGTTTGAGGGGTTGGGATTTGATTTTTCAGGATCAGCTTCGCTTTATGTATCAGAATATACAAATAATTTATAAAAAAGCAGATGTTATTTAAAACATGTAATAAAATCCAATAATACTGAACACTGTACTATTGCAAAACGTGTACAAAACTACGCAAAAAAATGTGATACACATTTTCAAACCACTTAATAGCCTTACTATAGAACATTAAATGTTTAAGTTAGACACTGTCCCAATTAATTATTTCACTTTAGTGGCAGCATTTTTTTATTTTCCAATATCTGAATTTAATCACTGAAATCTATAGTATTGCTATTAAAATCGTTAAATATATTACGTGTGAAGCCAAACAGTAAAGTAACAGCACCGTCTCAGACCAACAGATCAACATTTTGCAGTGACACTACAAAAAATATGGCAATTTACATTGTAGCATGTTCGTAATCCTCTTGAGGTTCACGGAGAACCAAAAGCGATGGTTTTCATTTCGCCAAATACTCGTTTTGTTCGAGTCAATGGTGTGTAACGGGGTAATAGGGCGGCGTTATGTCAGGCAGATGGTGGCCGCATTTAGGGAAGTTCGGCGGAACGGGTGGCAGGTCCAGCTGCGTTCCTATGTGTATGATAAGGTTCATCCCAATAACTATGTGGTAAATGAAGTGACAGTGGAACAGCCAATAACCTGCAAAAAATATATAATAGCGGATTAGCAAGGACTTAGCTGCGGATAAGTTACATTTCTTAATTTGTTATTAGACCGGACATGGAACTTTTTCTTTTTTTTTGCGTGGGGGAAATGCTTTACGCATGCCCACTCACTGAAGAATGGTGAGAAGGTTATGTCGGACTCTTCCCTGCCTACCTACCTATGAATACCCTAGCCAGACTAAAACCCCCACGGTGTTCCAACAGCATCGACGTTAAGACCTGACATGGACCTACAATAACCTTCTATTAGGTCGTTCTACTCTTGTTAGAGAGTTCGTGATCACGATAAGGCGTCTTTAGTGGTACATCTAGTTTATGATTTTCCGGAAGCTTTTTTTTTTATTACGCAGGTAAAAAAAAATCTTTTTACAAACGACGGCGCCTTTCAAAGGCACACCGCCGAACGGACCTCACACCTGGCTCCCGCAAGTCTTACGGACCCCCAGTGGCTGCCCACCTGGGACCCCGCAACTCTTACGGGCGCTTTACGGCATAATATACGCTAAAAAGTCCTGCGAATACCTTCACCACTGCCTGATGCGGAGCCGCGGGATCCCCTTGCATCCATTCATGGACTGTTCAGTACAGACATATCTGTAGACCGTTTCATTCCGAAACTTGTACTTATTTAACTCGTTTTTATGGGCAATAATTGGGACCTGACATGGAACTACAGCAACCTATTAGGTAGTTCTACTTCTGTTGGAGTGTTCGTGATCACGATCAGGCGTCGTTTGTGATAGATGTAGTTTATGATTTGCCGCTACCTGCCTCTATTCATGGACTGTTCAGTACAGTCATTAATAGCCAAATAGCTTTAGTTTGGTCAATCAATCTTTTAAATGCACATGGTTCCTTCCATTTTACCTTATACTACAAGGCGCTGTATAAATTCGTTATATTGCCTAAAAATATGCACTATCAAAGAACTTAATTATGCGCTTATGCATAGGTTCGCTGATTATAAATAAACTACCCAGTAAGTTTCTATAAATGTCTATGTATCCATGTATCTTATTTGTAATCTTTACCTGGGTTATCAGCTTTCAGTCTTAAGACTACGTATCCGTTGTTTGGCACAGCTAGCGTGTCTTTGAATGGCGGCAGGTTGTACTGCCTGTGAAGCAAGCCTTTTCTGTCCAAATCTAGCGCGTGCTTGAGGTTGATCTTCTTAATGTTTTTGTCGGGGGATCGACCCATGCCAATCACGTTGTACGGAGTCCCGTGTAAGTGGAATGGGTGAGACAAGTTCGGAGATTGTACTGAAAAGGGGAATAGGCTTATATTAAAAATGTGAAAGTTTGAATTTTACTCCAATACTCAGTAATTTTTAAAAAGATGAATGAGCTTGGAAGCTTTGATTATTTACTCTCTAGATAGAGCGTTACCTTGTAAATACTGCGATAAAAACAGACCAGGTTTTATATACTTGTGTACATGACACGGAAAACACGCGAATCTTGTATCTTACACTCGCGCTATTTCAGCGGAATATCATTATTTTTGTCTTGGTGCACATGCGTAAGATACCAGGTTAGGCCACATTCCCCAAAAAAGTGGGTAAATTTAATCAAATCTAAAATTATTATATTGATCACACAATTAAAAATCATAAACGTTGAAACATCGGCAAAACGTATAAATTTATAAGAGCCATGACAATAAAGAAACAACTACATTTTTTTTATTTTATGATGATAAGGCCTTAAATTTAGTAGTTCAATATTATTTATCTTTAAAATTTGACATATTACACAGATTTTACATTGTAAAATGAAAGTTTTGTGTCACAGAGTTTACAGTTTTACAATCTTGCTAACTTTATGACTTTGAATTACAATTTTATGGTACAACTATTAAATAAAAGCAAGTCATTTGCTATACTTTTTATAAAACTTTGATGACCTAGTAAATAACTATATAAAATAAAAATAGAAACAAACCGTAAAATAATGTTGCGCTTGTTGTATTTTTATTTTAAACATTTAACTGTTAGATGTTTTTACGAAAATAACGAAAATACCTTAATTAACGAGATCAATCTAGTTAAAAGCACGACACGTCTATCATATGCGTGGAGCGTACTGGGCAGTTGGCTGGCCTATTGTCAACGTTGCATAATGTCTCTGGAGTTAGCTCGTGCATCTGCGACATCGGCAGCGGGAGACGTGCATTTAACGAGGTAGTGTGCGGATTTACCTTCATCAACAAGCACGATCTCCACAATGGAGTTGAGCGGCACGTCTATCATGTGCGTACAACGGCAGTCGACTGGGCAGTCGGCTGGCCTGTTGTCGCCGTTGCAGAATAGTTCTGGAGGTAGATCATGCATCTGCGATAGCGGGGGAGCGGGAGGTGCGCTGTATGAGATTTCGTCCACCAAACTGAGCACATGGTCGCCACCCGGAGCCACTGAAATGATAAAACATTTACTTAGTTTCTTATAAATACTGTCGTATGCAATAATGTTTTGGACATTTGGATAGTCTAGTTGACGGAACCATTTATATCTCCGTATTTTAAAAAATCTTGTTTTTTAATAAATTTATCTACGTACTAAGGTTCCTTTTTTGAGACTTTTTAAAATCCTACTAATATCCTAATTCATACTTAATACTATAAATTTTATTGTAGTACATTGCCGACGCAGCATTTCTTTATTGACCTAATTTACCTATAATTAATATTTTTTTTTCACATCGTTCAGTTCGCATTCCGTCATCAAGCATACCACGCGTACCCATTAGTTTAATCAGTTTAAAATTTAGCAAATATACTTTAGTTTCAAAATTATTTACAGTTTTATTATTTTATCAGTTTTTATGTTACGGGCTCCCCGTACATTGGTCCTTCGAGCCGGATTAGAACCAGCTATCTATGGATGTAATGATATAAAGTTTGTATGTTACTCAATCACGCAAAACCGGATGACTGGATTTGAATGAAAGGCACACTTTGTTTATTACCTGGATTGAGGCATTCCATACTTTTTATCCCAAAAAAACATTTAGGTTCCTGAGGAATTCGCTAAAACTAACTAGCTAACAAGAAATATAAAATGTATATTTTGTTTAGGATACTAATAAAAAAAAAATTGAGACTCTAATTTTCCATTACCTAAGTAATTCCTGTAAGTGTTCTCCGCGAACAGGTCCTTGGGTTTGTAAAAGTGGAACCGGAATGGCAGGAAAATCTTTACATCCGGTCTTTCCTGTAGGATTGCCTTGTCCACCGGCTTTGCAGATTTCAAGTTACTGACACACACTGCATCATTCCTTTTCACATTGCAGATCGCGTCTAAGGGGTTCATGACCTGAACATTGGTGAGGAAAATTAAAGCAACCGATTGATGATTCATCATAAAGGTAATAAGAAAATTTTTTATGTAAAAAAAAATTACAAAATAAAATTTATATACAAATAATCATAAAAAATGTACAACCTGCGTCCACTGGTGCATTGTGGAAACCCGCTACAATAGGGCTTTCTGTCAACAACCCTTAACACCTTTAGCTAAAAAGTAAAAACAATGAAACTACTCGCATTAAATACTAATGTATAATAATAAAAATCAAACTTCTACACTAACTTAAGTGCATCATCTACGAGTACTTACGTGTTTAATATATACATTAAAAATGGATTGCTAATTTCATTAAGGTACAGCGCAGCGCTATAATAAGTAATAACTACCTAGTAAGTTTTTAAACGTCATACAAGAAATTAAGGTATTTCTAACCAAAAAGCTAAGATAACTTTTTACAGTAAAGAAAACATGTCGTGTATTATAGAAAGGTATAAAAGCTCTTGTTTACGTCAATATACTGGAGGCACGAAATTGTCATAAATAAAATAATTTAATTTTTCATATATTTTATTAAGTGGTGTAAAAAATTTACATTATTTTTTTCTCATTATAATCACGGTATTAAATTACAAAAAGTTTTATTTGCTGCCTTACTAATGATAGAGGCAACAGCTTTTCAAATAACGTATTTAGTTTATTATACATGTATGATTGACTGTATTAAATTATGAACGCGCACATTTTTAGTGTGGACTAGGATAGCAAAAAAGTACGCCAATTGTTTTGCACAGTTGAAATTAATTAATAAAAAGTTATATTAATAAGAAAGTTTTACTTAACACTGGATTTAAATCGAATTTATATCTAAATATAGTGGTAACATGAAAATGGTAACACTATGTGTATACATAACTTTTATGTACAGTCATCAATGTTAACACAATATTGCAATGCTTTGAAACATTTTATGAATTCGTGTATTTACATCTGTTGCAGTGTTTGTTTATTTACATTTACGAAAATATAATGCTTTCATCTGAAATTGGGTTAGTAAGAGAATCGAAAACTTAAACATCTAAAGGCCATTTATTATTAAAACCTCTTTAAATATATACACGTAATAAATATCCTTGGTGAAAATTATAATGGCAAGTTGTTAGTTACAGGACAAACGAGTTCGCATAAGATGGAAGGACACCCGATGGAGGTGTTAGGAGTAAACGAGTCAAGAGCCTCATAAGACACATATTTAAGGCGACATTGTCAATATAATTACAAATATATCACCGAATATGGCATAAAATGATATAGCAGTAATCTCAGAAAAGTGGGCATCACCGTTAAATAAAATCACAAACCGTCATAGCTCCCTTTGAATCATTCGAATATAAAATAAACACAAACGGTGAAATCGAGCACTTCGAAACCACCGACCACATCACACAAATCAAACATAAATTTACACTTAGGTAACATTAAAACAACTATGTACTTCATTTTTTGTACATAAGAACTGGGAAGTGTCCTAGGAACCGATGTCGTTAATACCGATAGGAGGTAGGTGGTCTCCGCATGTGGGGAAGTTAGGGGGAACTGGCGGGAGGTCAGCTTGGGTGCCCACTTGTAGCACCAAACTCATTCCGATGACAATGTGGAAAAGGAAATGACAGTGGAAGAGCCAGAAGCCAGGATTGTTGGCTCTGAAACGGAGGATGACGTAGCCATTGTTGGGCACGGCGATCGTGTCCTTGGCCGGTGGAAGATCTCCTTGTTTGAGGTGACGCTCGAGCAGACCTCTTCTGTCCAGATCCAGAGCGTGCTTCAAGTTGATCTTCTTAACGTTCTGGTCAGGAGAACGCCCGATACCGATAACGTTGTAAGCGTAACCGTGTAAGTGGAACGGATGAGATAAGTTTGCAATTTGAACTGGAAAGAGAAAAGAATGTAATCAGTTAAACGCCACTTATTGTGTTTTAATTGCACGCGTGTAATTATTATAACGTGTTGAGGAATTCAAAGATTAAATCGTACCTTCGTCTACGAGTACAATTTCCACAACCGCGTTTAGCGGAATATCTACTTTGTGGGTACACATGCAGTTCTGTCCACAGTTAGCGGGTCTATTGTCACCGTTACAGAACTGTTCGGGGTTTATGTCATCGTACTGACTCAGTAGGGGCGCTGGAGGAGACATGTATGATATCTCGTCAATCAAACTGATAACATGGTCGCCTTGCGGTGCCACTGTAACATAAATCCAAATTAGGTTATTTTACAATAAATTTTCTTACAGTTTATTAGTATACAAATTAGAAAAATAAGCAACGGTCTTACCTAAATATCTATTGTATGTATTAGGCTGGAAGAGCATCTCTGGTCTGTATACGAAGAAACGGAAAGGCAAAAATATTTTTACGTCAGGCCTTTCCTGTAGTATAGCGGGGTCGATGTTTCTAGCGTTTTTCAGTTGGCTGACGCAAATGGCGTCGTTTCTTGGGGCATTACACCTCGCGTCCAACGGGTTCATCACCTGGATGGTTAGTGAGGGAGAAAGGTACGTGCAATTACTAGTATATGTACGTGCATATAATACAACTACACACTACGAGTACTACAGTTGTCTTCTAATAACTTATATTATTAGGTGATAAATAAGTACTGGCTTTGGAACAATTTTGATTCTAAGAGATACAGCAACAACAACCTTTAGATAAAAAAATGATAAGTTTATGAATGTTATGCGATGAAGAGATATTTGATGACTTTATGATAATCTACAAATATGAAAACTAAATTAATGACGTAAGTGTTCTGTACAAAGGTGAATACAATTTGTTTAAATATACATTATTATATTCATAAAGGTATTTTCAATATTTGTGTAATGAAGTCATTACTGGCAATTTTGCATTTCCACTTCACTAGTAGTTAAGTTTGAGCAAGCCATTGCAACGAAATCCAGTAGATTTTATCGAGGTTGTCGTGTCGGCACCCAAGAATCTAGTCTGCAATATCCGTTAATTAATAACTACCAAGTACAGTCCTGACTGAGTCTGTGTTCCTGATAAACCTTGAATTTTCTAATCTAATAATAAAATAACTAAACTAAGTGATCATATATTTACAACAACGTTATCTACCATCAAATCCTTAATCTTACTTAATAAGGTAATATGGTACAAGTGTGTATAATACATTATTCCTAGTACTTACGACTCCTTGAGGAATGCCGACATCGTAAGTTGGCGCTTGTGTTGATGGTTGGTAAGGTCCCCTTGCATATCTGAGGATAGCTAATTGTTGGGCCCTTTTTATTCCACACTCGCCGAGACCTCTCACTTGGATCCAGTATGCTCCAGGTACATTATTCGCTTCAATAACGAAATCGTACCGCTCACCTGAAAAGCATTTTAGAGAGACGTTTACTTATTAGATGTTACAATAGAATGAACAGCGTAAACGATGTGAAAGGGAAATCCACGAACGGTGTTATACCATTGTAATAGTCATATTTGTTTAGTTAACTGCTTTTTACGTACTTAGTTAAATAACTTCATGAATTGTTTAGCTTGAAATGGACACGCAACAATATTATGATGTTATGTGCAAGAATAACACACAAATTGCTAGTACAGTAAAGCGACGAAGGTGAAGAAAAAGACTGCTACAGAAATGAATGAATATGCGTTATATATGAGTATATATGTTACAGAAATTAGTTGAGAAACGACAGTAATAGAAAAGATGAAGATAATAATTCGGTTTAACAGTTTATTGAAAGGGAGAAATAGATGCAAAATCTATATCATTTCCATAAGGTAATCGACCTTAAGGAAATAGATGAGGGATATAATGGTTCTAATTATTGTCTTTTGTGGGGATGACAAAGTATCAAATAGTGTGTCACATATAATAGATTATGTTTGAGAACCTATATATGATAGGAGATTGTATACTTTTGAAATATTAGCATCGGGCTTCTTTCTGGCATGATTCTCTTAACCTTAAACTAGACAACAGTTTCTTCTTTTTGTTCTGGAAAGAGCATGACTAGGATACACTGTTGTCAAAAATTTAAGATTCAGAGAATCATGCCAGTGTGGGGCCCATTATTTTGATTGCTTTGTAAGTAAAAAAGATAATTAATTTAGTACTTACCAGAGAACGAGATAATAGTGTTGACTTGAACTGGCAGTACAGGTTCTCCGTCTGTAGCAATCACGGTGAGGTTATGACCCTGGAACGTGACCTGAGCTGGGCACACCGACGCGAAAGCGTTGATCATTCTGAATCTGTATCTTCTTCCAGGCGTGATGGTGAACACTTCGAGAGGAGTGTTTGTCATGAACCCAGTGTTGGGATCTCTGAATTGACCTTTTCCATTGATCAAAACAGATTCAGGGTCTTGCCCGGTATTGACGGCCAGACGTCCTGGGTATCTCTCGGCGGCGTCTTCGTGGAGCCAGTCACTAATCAACATGACGTGTGTGGTCAAATCGTAGTCGTATAAGTGACTGTTGGGATCCTTGGAAGGAGGTTGACGGACAACGATGCTGCCGTATAAACCGTCCAATTTCTGTAAGCCAGTGTGGGCATGCCAAAAGTGGGTACCAGCGTTACCTTGCCATTGGTATCTGTAAATTGATTTCATAATTTAAGTTATATTTAATTTATATCTTAATAAAGGTATACCTACTCCTAAATGTCAAAATTCAATTGATTTTTATAGGGGTATTTAATTATTTATTTGATCATTATTGCATTTACAATACAAATGGCGGACTCAACGCCAGTATGGCATTATCTACCAGGCAACCGGAAAGAAGGTGCAGAGAAAATGAAACGGCAGACAATCGGCAAAATTAAATAGCATAAATTACTTATATACCTACACATACTTATATAAATATACACCATAGTAACATATATTATACATACATAAATACATATCTACCAATAATATATACTGTCTGATTATGATATTACAAACCTGAACGTGTTTCCTTGTTGAATGGGGCATTGCGTAACGAAAGGTACACCATCGTAGTATTGAGATCCTCTTTGCCAAATGCCGTGCCAATGGATTGTTACTTCCATACCTTCCATGTGATTCTCAACGTCAATTACGACTTTGTCGTTCTCACAGACTTGAATAGAGGGTCCGGGCAACATTCTGTTTGAAGTGAGGATACCTCTCTCCACTCCGTCAGCGAGTACGCATTGGCAGTGAGACCATACGACATTGGTTGCATTTGGAGTACACACTTGACAGGCCCTGCAACAATAGGAATTCATTTTTGCATATATACATGACAGAATTTCAAGTCTATCAAGGGAATAACTACCCTTATCAATTGGTTTTATTACAACACAATTTCCTCAGCCTATGCGTTCTCTACCATGAAATGGTATGTTTGCATAAGTTCTGTCGTCACCTATCAATTACGTGCCTAAGTGGAATTTGGTTCACCGGTCGTACGCCGACTTCGGCATTGAAACCTATGCAGTTCGTGTGAAACAAAGCGTAAAATGTGTGAAGTGAATAAGTCGGTTTATGGGTCACTTTTTTCTCTGTAATAATAACTGCACGATTTTCGTGAGTTTAAAAATAGTAGATTAAGGGAATCGTGATACAGATGACTCGGAGATTACGCGTATTGTTAGGTAATGTACCTATTACTAAATTTTATATAAGATGTGTTTATTAGATAAGTATTATGATTTTTTCATTGTAAATTATTGGGTGATTGTAACTTTATTCTTTAGTTCTATTTAGTTACTGTTATTAGTTTCTATAATCATAAAGGCAGGTTCGTGAGCAAAACATCGTCGGGTGATCTGGCTTGGATAATTTCCTTTCAGCCTTATTTGTGCCTCCGTTTCCTTTATGCCAGACATTGTAATCGGTACCTAAACAATGCATTGTTCGTTACGCGGCAAGTACACCGGAAACATGATTGCTAGGAGGCGAAAAAAATGATTTTCCTCGACACATACAATTGGTTTTTATTAACATAATTCTAAGCCTTATTCAAATAACGAGTTAATTATTGCACCAGAACTTACTAAAATTCATACATTAAAAGAATTTAACAAAATCAAATACTATCTGAAATCATTATCGAATGCAATCATGATCATACTAAAGTGTTAAATCATAGAACAAGAAAATGGGACAAGTTCATTCCAAAATAAAATATTGATTAAAATAACTTACGCTCCCAAAACAGTGTACAGTTCCAGGGTGAAGTGATAATAGCAAATCCTTGGAGGTTCGTTCTCCCTGCAAGCCCTTGCGCACTCATCAGGTGCTGATAGCGCTGGGTTTCTTCTTAATTCAGCTGTCGCACTGCTGGTGAAGTCCAAGTGTTTTAGTGAGTTCTTTCCATTCGCACTCCTGGCCAGTGGTGGTAGAGGGTTATTCCTGACGCCACTGCTGAGCGGACCGCCGCCGCTGGTTTTCGCAAATGGGTTGGAGGCTGGTCCATTAGTGCTGCCGATCCCTCCGAACGATGAGAACGGATCGTTGAGAGTGGGATGGGTCTGCACTAAGCCGTGTGTCGAGGAGAACGCGCTGCTACTCGAACTATCCCGGAATGGGGTAGCTGTGCCCGCTTGCCACCAAGACGCTGATGTTGACTGGTCATCGGCCGAGTTTAAAGCCTCTGTGGAATAAAGAAAAAAAGCTATATGAGAATCGGAATTAACCGCTCAGATTCAAGACAATGTCGAAAGAATTACGATGTTTGGTGTAAATAAATTTACTTAAAATTTGAGGGTTTCAAAAGACCCTTTACTGATATTTATCTAAGTATTGAGTTAAATTGTGAAAGCGTATAAGCATTGAATTACAAATCAGAGCGCAGTTTGCTTGGTTGCGATTAAACAAACAGCGTTGCGCTCGGAGGACCTACTCGTATCTGCGATCTAGAGCGTTTTCTCAGGGCATTTGTCAGTAGTCGCATAATTTATTCGAGTGATAAGTCCATTAGATAGCGCTTGTAACTCGACAGGTGCGCTGATGTAAATTCCAAAATCCATAGAACCAGTTCAGGAAATTCTGAGTATCTATCCAACGACACAGTCTATTTTATAACTGAGTCCAAGTTTCTTGCCGGTTCTTCTCAGTACAGGGTCTCCCCGCCGTAGTTGTGCGAGCAGACCTTCACAAGTGCTTGTAACAGCCTACAGTGAATAAATGCTTTTTGATTTTGATTTTAACATACGGGAATATTAAGAAATAAGCTTAATAATGACCAGTTTATGGCTTCGGCGAATTAAAGATGAAGGAAAAACCGAGAAATTTTAGTATAAAAAATTAAACTTGATGCTCAAACGATGGTATTATTCGTTTTTAAAGCTTATCTATTGATAACTAAGCTAAAAAATTCTTCATAAAAAATAGAGCTTTTTGATGCGTGAAAATAGCTTATTAATACCTAAATAAATATTAAAATAAAACGAACTATAATTTTTTAAATAAAACGAATATATTTAAAGGTAAGCAAATGAATGCATGCAATGCAGAGGAGCTCGATAGCGCAAGTGATTAGCGCGTTCGGCTGCGATCGTTGAAGTTAAGCAACTTTCGCAGTGGTCGGTCATGGGATGGGTGACCAAAAATCTTCTATCTCGAGTTCCTCCGTGCTTCGGAAGGCACGTTAAGTCGTTGGTCCCGGCTGCATCTGCAGTCGTTAGCACCCACCAATCCGCACTGGGCCCGCGTGGCCCAATCTCCCTATTCCATCCATAGGGTAGGTCTGTGCCCCAGCAGTGGGGACATTAATAGGCTGATGATGATGATGATGATGAAATGAATGCATAGACCAAACATGGGTCAAAATTATCTTGTGTGGGGCCGTGATCAGAGGCATTATTTTCGGTACACAACACTTGTAATTGACTAGGTCCTAGTCCACCACTTCCTAGTGTCTAGGAAGTGGTATCGCAGTTCCAAACACTACAAACGATTATAATTAACGATAATAATACTTTGATAGAAATAAAAAAAATATATAAAAAAAAAGATAGTAAATATATAAGAACCTGATATGATAGAATCGCTTTAATAACAAATGTGCCGAATTTTTCAGAAATTATTTCAGAATTGCTATTTTATTAAACGTTCAACACTATGTGTTCTAGTTCTGGTTTAGATATCTGCCTATAAACAAAAATTATATCTACAATAGTGTCAATAGATAAAATTATTGTCGTAAGACCTTTTTGGAGTCGCTTTAGGTAATACAGAACCTTGAAATGTTTGTTGCAATTTCCTTGTCGATATCAATACCAAGATCGCTATTCACGAATGTCGTGCAAGCTGCTGTTAACAAATGGCTATTCATATTTTAGTTAGCACGGCTATATAAAAAGCAGTAAATAGAATTATGAAAATTTAATTTGCTGTCCTGTACAGCAGCAAATATTTTACTATAAACAATAATGATTTATGAATAGCATACTGAATTTACTGTATTCAATATTCATTTTATAGAGTTCATTAATGTCGGATTGCTCTTTACAGGATGTTTATGGCGTGTTTGCTTCAAAGCAAACACGACCGCAAATCATGAGATAAGCAACTTTCATTGGATGGGTATTATCTCGAGCTAGAGAAGCACGGAGGGTGCTTCTAAAGACACGTAAAGCTATTAGGCCCGGATTTTTCTGCAGGCTTTACCACCCACCAATCCGCACTCGTCCCGCTCGATGCTTCATTGCACGTTCTTCCTAGTAACTACAGAGAAGCTGGACCTCAGCAGTAGGGATATTAAAAGCATTGAACTATTACGGGTATTAATAATATTTCAGTGAATCTAGGGGTATTCCTTGAAATATTACTTGAGGTAATTAAGTAATTTGTAATTTATCAAACAGATTCAACATTTATCTTTCTGAATAGGCTTTAACGTCGCTCATGTCTACGGATTCTATATAATTTGCGTGCCAACTTAGTTCACCTCCAATAAATATGCTAAATTTCGGAATCATTTACCTTAAATAGAGATCTACGGTTAGTTTTTACCTTAGGGCTTACTTTATTACTTATGGGCCAGTCCAGACCGCAGAGTAAATTACCTCAATCTGATCAAAGATTACGAATTAGAGTCGGCAGTTAGCGGTTACTATGTATGCGATTCCAGTAATAGTCTGTGGAAAGTTAGTTTTCTTCCTGGATCTTGTGTTGCTACAAAATACCGTTATGCGCTAGAATGATAGGTAATTACGAAAAAAATCGTGACGAATTAGTAACGGGAAGCATATCGCTCTTTCTTTGAGAATTAACGCTTTTGCAGTGCTGTTCTGTAAAATATTCACGCACGGATCCAATGCGGATCCGCGCCTTTCCCATATAGATTCGCGCGGATCCACATCGGATCCGCGCGTGAAAATTTTACAGAATCGCAGTACTGGTATGACGGAGTTTTCCCCGGTATGCAGGTTTATTATGCAATAAGTGCAGTTTATTTAAAGGTTAGGTGAAAACCTGGAGACACAATGCGAAAAGCCAAACACAACAAAACAGTCGCGTATGTAAGACGTTTGGTTTGCACTTAAATACATTTTTTAAAGACGGTTCATTTCTCCCACCTGGGAAAGATTGCTGGTTTTCCCCTATGTTATAGGTTTATTAGCCCAGTTTCTTGCTTAAGTGAAATTTTAGTTAACGACGTTATGTCACCTATTTAGAAGTAATTGAAAACGCTTCTAATACGGGAGTTCTCAAAAGTAAAAAAATCATAGAGACGCTTGCAATACATTTTATGACGAAATTGCTTTTGATAAAAATTGAAATTTGTGGTTGCATCTCTTTTTTGTATGTTCGTTGTTGCTTGCATACGGAAGAATATCAATTTTAACTCAAATTTTAACTTAACGTCCACAGTTATTGGGTTAAAAATGGATTGGTGAAAAATCGTTCTGTACCGTGACACGACATTTGATTTCATTGCATAATAGTCATTGAATTGGGTGGCCGTTTCAATTCTTTGTTAAGTCATCATATTGGATGTATAGCCATCTGTATAATAATTAGAACTGCCTACAGATATAAGAGATTAATGTTGCTTACAGTTAAAAACGCATACATATACATACATTCGGTTGTAATTGTTTTGTAATATGTACACACACTTACAGCAAACTCATCAATCAAATGGCATGCTAATAGTATAGGTCTTTAATGTGATTCCTTTAAGAAATATCACCGCTATTTTTTTTTATACAAGGCGCATTAAATTACGACACCCTGCCTGATGTTAAGTTTAAACTTTTATTATTATAAATTAAGCCTACATTGCTCTTATATAAACCAAGTTTTCAGTTATTACAAAGCGAAATACAAGTCATGCATGCACTACAACGTTGCATCATCATCAACCCATGTTCGTCCACTGCTGGACATAGGTCACCCCTAATGCACGCCACTGCGCCCGATTTTCTGCCACTCTCATCCAGCCCACTCCAGTCCGCCTACGAATGTCATCATTCCATCTTGTCTCAGGGCGTCCTACACTACGTTTACCGAGTCGCGGTCTCCACTCAAGATCTTGCATCACAAAATAACAATTCGGTGCAGATACACTTCAAAAGTCTTCCAATATGCAATTGATGTTAATGATATAAAAAAATATTCTTGTCTAAACGCTAAATACGATATTGGTCCTATTTTGATTCACATTTCATAAATGGATGATATGATAAACTATTTAATCAGAAATTAAAACCGACTTAATAGAAATAAATCACTAAAAAGTAAGAAATAATATAATACTTTTCTTATTTAAGCTACATTTAATATCAAACTAACATTTGATGTTCGTAGCAGCAGTAAACGGTAACTCAGATCTATCAGCATACCTCAACTGTTAAATTGACTGTAAATGTACTTTAGACAAAAGCAAAGAATTGTATTATTTCATACTTTTTAGTATGGTTTTTGTACTGTAAAGTCGGTTTTTATTTTTGTATTTTTTAAACTCACAAGTAACCAACAAGAAACCAAATATTCAGTACAAAATGTAGAAGGGAACTCTTCCTAACTTTATTTAGCGTGAAAAGTGTATTAAAGCTTTAACTTTGAAATGCAGTTCGCGGTACTCGATATTGCAAATAATGATGTAGTTTTATCTTTAAATGGTTAAGTGTGTGTAATTTAGCAACTTTATTTGATACATTAGAACTTATATAAGGAAGCATTTTAAAGAACCTGAAATTTTCCTCGCAAGTTCTATCAACTTTTTTCGAAGTAGATAAGTAGAACTATTACTTTATTTGTGTTAATGTTTCTTTTAAGCGATAGATAAAGAGAAATAATTTTGTCAGATACGTGCGCACAAGCACTTTTTCAAGTGCACGGTAAAGCAATAAAAATATTGTGTTTAACTAAATAGGTTTTCTTAAGAACAATCTTACAAACTTAAATTTCCAAATCGAAATACACAAAAGAAAAAGATCTTTTACTACATGGTCTACACTGTACAAATCACATTTTATTACCTATCTAAAAAAATAATAATGGATTGTTATTTTACAAAATATAAATAAAAGAAAATGGACTGAAATTAAGAGAATGACAGCTCAAAAACTCTGTGATAATATATAACTAGAGTCTAGAAACAATAAAAAAGTAATTGCAAAATATATCAACTTTTTTCGGCTAAAACTGTTGCATAACTGCATTTTCACTAAGTGAAGTGTCATTAGCACTAGGTTTACCTCGACGGACTCTAGAACTATAGTAGTTACACCGGAAAACGGTGAAAGTGAAAACATGGACACTTTACTTTTTAAATCTCGAAGTGGACAGCATGTTAACAGATAGACTCTCCCTGCCTTATTACGAAACGTAGACCAAAGTTAAACCTGGAGTAAAACTGATTCAGTCATTTTTGTTTGCTATATAGAAGACAAAGACAACAATAGGTTTAAACTAAGAGTAACATTAGAACGCGTTTTAGAATAAAGTGATCAGAATCTCTATCGGGCTTCATCTTGGTTCATATATGGTTCGGAGACAATGTTTTCTGGTGTAAGTGGACTAATATATTTTTTGAGTAGGTTTGCTAATTAAAAAAAACAATTGATTTTTTATCTGCATTATAATCGTGCAGTCCAATGTCTTGTTGTTTTTCTATCAAGAGGGAATAAAAATAAAATGAATAAAAAAGAATTTAATACTTGCGTCAAGGTAACATTCATGTAACGTTTCGACGACGACTATGGAAAAAATAACAATCTGCCTCTGCCGGCTTGCATGGTGCGGGGCTAGCCGGACGGAGGGGTAGATAATAGTAAAGAAAATATTTGCGCGTCAGACATTGAGAAGGGATGTTACGTGAACCCTTCCGGAGCTCTTATTCAAAAGACTGACGATTTGGGCGTGATCACGTGACCATAGTCATAACAGTATACGAACAAAACGTATACTGTTTTGTTCGCCAGCTCCTCACTTTTATGACTCCTCACTGTTACGTTACGGATTATGTTACGGTTTTGACCATATAATAGTTTATTTTTATAGTCCGGAGATTTTGGGCCAGCTGAATTTGAATTTCAACTCGTGTCAATCAAAAACACCTGAAATAGTGTTAAAATTACTGAATTAAAAATCACGCCAAAAGTTCTGCCCTAGACGTTAGATCCTATATGTATAAAGACCTCATGGTACTACACGAGGTGCAAGATTCTCCCCCCCCCCCCCCAAGCGCCATTCCTAAAATGTTCTTTCTTAATCAGGTTATTATTTCAACAATCTACTTAGATTTACTTTGAAGGTGCTTAGTGCGGTTTATGTAACTAACTATTAAATGACAACCGTCAAGGTGAAATTAGGTAAAAACCACTTTAGTCAAGGTATAGTAGATCCAAT